GGAACTTGCACAATCGGTGGCTGACTAAATACTTTTTTGCCCCACTGTAAAATTTGGACCACTCCACCCATTCACTCACTCCAATTTCAGCACTCATTCATCTGTCCGTCCATCCATCCACACACACCAGTTCTCCCTCATCAGCATAGGCTCTGACAGACAGGATGTCCTGGATCCACCCTGGGGTGACCGTTTCCTGGTAGTAAAGATCATAGACGTAGCCATCGTCCTGCTCTCGGTGCTCTTCCCCCAGTCTATCTCCAGATATGCTCAGACGCTCCCGCAGCATCTTGGTGTTGTTACAGAGAATCTCATCTGGTTCTGAGGACAGTATCTTTAGAAAAATAAAGCAAGTGATTAGAAATGGAACAAATTAATGAGCTGATAGTCAGTCTAGTTGGGCCTAATGGCAAATTAAATGACATTTACATCAATACTGAAAAAAAAAAAATCTCACAGCTGTTTACCGGTAACTATCAAAACAGATGCTGTTAGGAAGAGGCAAGTTGTGAGCTTCATGCGTTTGCTGGTAGGCAGTGTAATACCAGTGGCTGCAGTAACTCCAGACATTCTCACTAAAGTAAGTGATCTTTCCTACAGCTGAAGCACACGACTGAAATTGTGACTGAAACGGTCGAGCCTGAACGCTTCTTAAAAAGCCAAATGAACGTGACTCTTCGATCAGACACCTTAACACAGCTGACCTGGCTGGTTGGTATAGTTAAGCTAATTATACACATGCAACACTATTTAACTGTTCTGAGATGTTATGTCACAGTCTAGAACATAGGTGACAAACTCTGGCCCGAAGCCATACCAAATTACTATTAGAGCTGGCCTACTGGTATTATAAAGCTAATATATATATATATATGTTGTTTAGTATTAAGTTTTGCTTGTTCCATATTCAGTTTTTCAGCAAAACGTGTTTGAGTCCGTAAGAAAAGATTCATTCTTATATCTGGAGGAATAAATATGTTTCAATAAATATTAACGTTAGCCTGCGACTTTGTTCCAGTTTTGAATTTTGGCCCACTGTGTATTTGAGTTTGACACCCCTGGTCTAGAACTAGCTAGGCCTGCAGTGTGTGTGTGTGTGTGTGTGTGTGTCTCTCTCTCATTCTCTCCCTCCCTGTCTATTTGTCAGCAGTGAAAGCTCAACTGGAGTAATGCAGTGTTGTTCGTGCATGGTTTTTAAACTCCAAGGAAATATGGCTGCTGCTCCTGCTAGCCCTGCTAACACTAGCCACACTTCCAATCCAACATTGCAAGACCAGAGATCAATGTGATTCGATTGGGGAAGAATGCACTTCCAAAAGGTTTTTAAATAAACACGCACTATTTGTTTAACAATTCTGCCTGTTTGCTGAACAATTTCTTACTTTTGACCAGTTAATGTTTTTTTTCCTCTAATTTCTAATGACTATAGTAAATGAATTACCAGGACAATCCTTACTTAACAGAACAGGAAATGTGCTGGCACGATGAGAAATCAGAAGATTGGATCTGTGAGACCGACCAATGATAATGGCGTCAGTAACAGTTGATGACTGTGCTAGCCATGTGGTTGAGCTAAGACTGGATGACTCTCAGCAACTGAATTATATTGATATTTGTAGCATCTGCCTTCTGAAAAGCACTTGTTAAACTGCACAATTGTGTTCAGTAAAAGCTTAATGCCTGGTAAATTCTGGTAAAATGATAATCTGTGTTAAATAATCCCAAATACAATCAAGCAGCCCTATGAGGACAACCACTTATGTTTTTTAACAGTCTGACGGCAGCATGGCATTTATTTTTTTAACTGACTGTTTCTGTAATTTAGCCTCCACTAAGTGAAAAAGGTGCAACATATGTAGTAGTAGTAGTAGTATTTATTTATTGTCATTGTCAAGAACAATGAAATTGCGTTTGGGGCTTCCATACAACCCAAAAAAAAGAAGAAAATAATAAATACCCCTTAAAACCCAAGTGTACATATTTAACCCAGTGTGACTCCAATGCAATAGACAATCCTTAGCAATAACATGAGAACATGACAAGTAATGTTGGTAGAAATTCAGACAAAGACCTGAGAAACATGACAAAATACAACAATGCAACCCATTCAATATTATTGTACTGTGAGATATGATATCAGATATGATAGTTATCTATTTAAGAAAGAGGGGGGGGGCAGGAGGGGGAAGAGAATAAAGATATGATGCACCAATGCAGACCAGTTCATTGCTATTAAGAAGTTGGATATGGTTAGGGTCCTAAATTATACTCAATTTAGGACCCTAAATTGAGTATAATAACTGATGATTGGGCTGTTCATGAGTACGCTTGCCAAACAGCACTAGGACAACTGCTGCAAACAAAACCCAGAATCTCCAACTATCAACTTACCTTGCCTGAAGGTTTATCCTGGTCCTCTCCATCCTCATGGATCAGATCCACCACCTGGATTTCACCCAGCCCCCAGCATTTGTCTGTCTCTTTCCCCGTTTCCTCTACACACTCAGAAGCACCCATCTGTGGTGTCTGTTGCTCTGCTGGGGCTGACAGACCAGCACGGTGGCTTGAGAGTATTCTGTAGCGTTCCTCTCTCCGAGTACTCCACTTTGTGCTGCGTAAATCACCAAGTATCCGCTGTGAGCTGGCAGCAGAGGGACGCAGTGCATGCGCCGTGCGAGGCCGAGCCAAAGCCTGTCGAACCTGCGTCTGAACGGGAGCTTCCTGGTGATGGGATGACAAAGATAACAACCCACGAGGCTTTAACATAAATATGGATTTCCCTTTTAATTCCCAACTCATAGAAGCTGCCGGAACTGCACACTCATCTTACTCGCGGTTCCACTAATTTAATGCAAATATTATCGAAATCCAACAATTAAAAACCCCACATCCAATTTTCTACAACGGGGAAACAACCAATTTGTAACAATAGACAATAGTAGCAATAGGACATGTGCAAAGATGCAAGATTCACATGTTGAAAACACAATGGCCAGAATTTTCTCTGCGCATAGAAATGTTTGGTGCCCTCAAAAGACAATTTGGTCTAGCACAAAAATGACAATCAACATTCATCAAATGGCAAGAAATAAAAGGAAAATCCAGAGAAATATGTAAGGTAACAAAGAGTCTTTGCCTTAACTGTATGTGACTCAATTACGGTTATTTGCTTGGTCACCTCCCAAAGCATAGTTATCACCAGGAAAAACCTACTGTTAAAAAAATAAAAAGACATTACACGCACCTAAAAATGCAGAAAAGACAGAAAAGCCTGTTAAGGAGAGACTCCTTATCCGCCTCCCAAATAGTTAACTTTTTCATCAGAGCCTAGGAGTGGTGTATTCCTCATTTTGGCTGTGGTTTTATTCATACCCATTTCACTTCCTAATGACATTAAAAACTTTAAGACAGCTTACTTCTGACACAAGACTGAGTACAAAAAACCCAATATAAAAGCTCACCAGAATCAATATTGTGATATCAATTTTTCAATCATTGCGCCCATCACTCACTAAAGGAAGCATTCTCAAAATGTACTGAAGTGGAAAAAGATGCATTAGCCATCTGTCCGTTTTACCGAATCCCACAAAGAAAACCATAGTGGTCGGTGTACACATTACACAAACAAATGCAGTGCTACAACTGTATATAGCAGTGTTTACAGCTAATCTAATTAGCTTACGTAATGGGTCTTATTTCGTCTATTGAATTGCGCATGTAAATATTTAATTTACTTCAAACGTTAGTCATACCACAGCCTGGATTTTAATTGTCACTTCGTTTTCAAGGCCCAAATTACGCCAAAAAAAACAAGCTAACAACAGTTTGTGGGGTAGCTAGGGCTAGCATGATTGCTAACAACAATAAGCACAAAGGCGCGTTGTTCCGGACAGTAAGTGACGCTCTCAGCAGCTTTATTCAGCTTGCTATTACCCACTCAGCTCTTCTGAGTGGTTTCAACTATCGTGATAAATACCACCCCCCACCACCACTATTTTTCAAAAGCTACCCCTTCCACTGACCGCTGCTCTGGCGATAGCATTGGGCCCCTCACCTGTGTTGCTACGGTCGCCACGAGTTTGAAGACAGAGTTTTCCACTTCGGCTTCGTTGGGCTCAGGTACCGTTTCGCCTGAGCTCTGGGACGTTTCGGGACGGATACGTTTGCATGCCAGCAGCAAAGCATCTGCGGGGTCGGTTCCCCTTTTTCTTTTCACTCGAAGAATCGTAGTATTTGGATCCATGTTGTCTCCGTCTCTCTTTAGTGTGTCTGGCAGTTGGAAAGAAAGGAAACACGAGAGAGCGCAATCCTTTTTTATTTCCGGTGACTACGAATGTGAAGAAACTCGTAAAACTATAATAATTTCTTTGATGTAGTTTACTTGATACGTTTCCTCGTATTATTATATAGTTAAATTAACTAAACTGCTGTCACGAGTTTCCAATGTATCACTGTAATCCACAATCTCAATAAAACATTAAACATTTTACTTCTTAAAACTTCAAAGTAAAAGCACTTCCTGTTAACGTTGTCCAATTAAAAGCTGACTTTGTGGACTTCTGCTATTTTTTTTAGACATTACGTCATTGTGATTGCTGTGTTTTGTTTTTTCAAATACATAAAAAAAATTTGTTTTGTTTTTTTTGTTTTTGTGATGATGGAGCTGCAAAGTTCTACAGTGTTTTGTCTCCGGACAAAAGAGTCGCAAGTGGTTCTCAAACGTTTTGCCAAACTTAAAAATGCTTTCAAACCTAGTTATCAAAAATAGTCCAACATCCCAATCTATGGTTTAATCAGTTAATAAAATAATAATAAAACATGATCAGTGTTGATATATATTTTTTAATTTTTTAAACTGTACTTATTTTATTACAAAAATTGTATTATACATAATATTATACATAATATAACATTTGATCATAAAATCAACCTAAAAATAAATCTGTTATCACACAAAGATGGTGCTGCACTAACCTGAAAATTGTTTCGGGTGGAATAACTGTTTTACAAAGACCTTTTACTAGTGAAATTTCATAATCCTGTTTATATAGCCTAACAGTGCAACAATTTTGTCCACAAAATAGACTTCAGCTGCCCAAAGTAAAACAATGGTTATGCAAAATAATATAGATTATATAGATTTTCGCATTCCCTACATTGATGACAGTCATGTAGACCTTTGTCAACATATTGCAGGCGTTTACTGTCACCAGGGGGCAGTGTCAAAAACAACCTATCCGTTATTTACTCCTGCAGTTATTGTCTGTCTCTCTATTACAATTTGAATCACCCCTACAGTGAGTCAGCTAACATAACAAGCTTTTTAGTGAGTGTATACTTGATGAAACAATGCAGAAATATTAAAATACCACAGAGTACATAACTGAACTGATTAGTCTGCAGTGAAGTCACCTGCTTTATGAAGATCAATATCTACCATGTCTAGCCAATAACAGTAACAATAACTAATAACATTCTGTAGTATATAGGTTAAGTTTGTAGGACAGATACATTACCTGACCTATACCTATAATACAGTATAAAGAATATAGATGATCTTCACAGTAACTGCTTTTTTAATTAAATGATTCACAAGTTAATTGTTGAATATACTAACAAAAATCATATTTGTATTTGATTCCAAAATAAGAAAGAAGAGAAATAAAAACATCAACAAATAAAATGAGTCTTCATTACCATATATGAATGTCATTGGGAAAATGTAAGAAAATGCTGTGTAAAATGCAACTAAAAAGTGAATGCAACGGTTTCCAATTCTCATAAAGCCATATTTTATTCACAGTGGAACGTAGATAATATAAAAATATTTAAAAGTTGTTTAAATATAAAAATATAGTAGATGGAGAGGACTGCCAGCTGCTCTCAAAGCTAATTTAGAATGGACAGAGGCACGTTTTACAACAGCATAATAGGAATAGGAGAGTGGAGGTGTGGAACTGCCCAGTCTCCAGTCCGAACCTTTCACAAATTAAAAACATTTGGCACAGCCAATCCAGCAGCTGGTCTCTGCATCCTAAAATTTAGTTAAATTCAATTTTGTTCATATAGTGCCAAATCATAAGAACAGTCACCTCAAGACACTTTATACTGTAAATTATTGCATATTTATACCTTGTATATTGCAGTGATAGAGTCTGCAGCTTCCTCTCTAATAAAAGAAAAGAGGATCCTACACACTGGCAAATATGGCCCTGTCCAAACTTTTTTCAGATGTTCTCCTGGCGTCTAATTCAAGCTGGGAGTTTTCTTAGAATGGTACATTTTTATCAGATTTAAAAACTAGATATATTTTCCATGTTCTGCTGTGAATAAAATATGAGGTTTTAATTGTTTCATTTGTTTGCATTCTGATTTCAGTTACCTTTTACACACCATGTCAACATTTTTGGAATTGGGTTTGTAAGTCAGGATAATTCACTTGTCTTAGCTGTTATTTAAACTGGTGGTCAGCTTTTTCTGACAGGTGTCTGTTGATGAGTTATTGTTCGATTGAGGCTTCCTGGTCAAAGCCAAAGACCACAGGAACATGAAGACACCTGATAAGAGAGAAAAAATGCAACTTTTCTCACAAATGATCAAAATCCAGTGCATACTTTATACGAGAATTAGTCACATACTAACCTTGACAGGAGTTGAATATTGTGAATACATAGATACCAGGGAGTGAAACATATGTGATGCTGGTTAACCCCCAAGGTAACCCCAGCACAAGGCTGAGGCCCAGCACTTTAACAGAGTCCTTCCATAAATTCCAGCCTTTGTTTTTGTTTGTCTTTTTCCAGCCAGTGTTGCTTCCAAAGCCTCCACTACCCCTTCTTATCCCCCAGAGCTTAAACACAACTAGTCCCATAACACAAGCATTAAACAGCACCACCAAGGAAGGAAAGGCCACTGTAGTGATGAAACTGGTTATAAGGTGCTTCTTCGGGAACTCGCTGTTCATCCAGCATCTGCTCATTGTTGAAAAACAAATATGTATTAAATAAATATAAAACATTTTGGAGGCAGCATATAAATGTCACCAATGTTAACACGAAAGTATGATTTTTTTTGTCTTAAGAAATCAAATCTCATGGGTCACTGCATGCATAAAAATCCTACTGATGATATTTTCTTACATGTGTGCTGTTGTATTGGAGAGTTTGGCGTCCCTCATGTGCAGGGTGTATTTACCATAAACACCTGAAATCGCACAAATCACTGCGACTAGTGTCGGGAAGCCTAAAGAAGTAAAAATAGAATGATTTTGAAGTGAAGTATTAAATGCATTTACAAAGATAAAATTAAAAATAAAATTGCATGTGCTACAGCTTGAAGTGCAAATGTTAGCAAACATGACTTCTCTGCAGTCTTTCTATTGAAAAAGAAGTTGCTCTACATGAAAAATAATTAAAAACAAAACTTGAGTGTGGATCTAGACCACTCACCAGCCTTTCAAGATTATCCATCCTTGAGGCTTTATTACGACACTGATTGCTGGACTTTTTTTTTTTTTCCATGCTCATTGTAATCACTCGACATTTGTGCACATGCTACAATTTGATATAGTATTATTGGACACTCTCAGCAAATCACTGAAGTATTTGTAGTAAAAAAAAGTTGTAGAAAATGGAAAAAATACTGTATACATACCATATGGACAAACCAATCTCATTTAGCCATTTACCTGGATTTTAATCACCAAATTTATGATGTTTTCTCAACTTTGTAGTATCAAATGACAACAACAACAACAACAACAACAACAAACCTACACTATCCATTTCCATTTGGCCTGTTTGACAGCATCTGACGAAATTGTGTTTTAACCTTACTTTACTCACCCCATCCAACTAAGCTGAGTTTGAGAAGATATTTCCTGAAAGTGATGTTAAAAACCCGGCTTAGTAGAAGGTAGAGATGGAACCCCTCCAGAGCAGTCCAGCTGAAGGTGGCCAGCAGAGACCAGTGTAAAATCAGACCCAGAACCAGACAAACTGGGCTGTCCTCATTCAGCAGCCATGCCGAGAAACAGGACAGCAGGAAGCTGAGGTGGAGGCAGAGCATTGCTCCTGCTAGCTGCATGTGCAGATTAGTTGTCTTCTCAGGACGCCGACGACTAAAGAGAGAAACAGCATTACAATTTTTTTAACAATGGAAGAAATTTGGCCTTTTTTTAAACCTTTCGCTTTGAACCCTCAATTTTGATAACACTAACAATAGTAACTCCACACAGATGAAACTGAGAAGCTTGTGATTTCCCATAATTATTGTCAGACTAAATATACCAGATAATGTATCCTGTTCTATATGTAACCAAGAGTACGGGAACCAAGACTGCCAAAAATGGGAAGAAGATGATGAAGCTGGAGGAAGAAAGAACTAAACCCTTTCAAAGTAATATTAGAGATAAATGAAGTACATTTAAATAAATAAATGTAGCATTTTAGAGTATGACCCATATATTGATATTTCTTCATAATTTGCTACTATATTTATTTATTTGAAGACTATAACCCCTTTTTATTAATGTATAGGTTTTATGTAAAATAATGATTATCTTTGCATCCTAACTGCCTTTAATCCAAGGAGATAAGTGTCAGAGGATCCAGTGCTCCTTTTTCTGTTTCCTCTTCCAGCTACTTCCTTTATGGCAGTGGTTCCCAAAGTGGAGGGTGCAAAGCCATTGGCGGAGGGGGGTGGGGTATGAATAATAAAAGAAGCCTTGGACACTGCTATGGACAGGTTTTTTGACGGAGCTCCCACACAAACACAAAGCAGAAGATGAAGCATCGCCAAATATGCTTCCGAACCAACTTCCAAGCCAAAGACTAGAAAATGTGATGAAGCATATCTTGCCATTGGCTTCACCTGTACAACAGTGGTGCCAAGTAGGGGTGGGTTTCAACACTCGATTTTCCGATCATTTATTTAATCCTGAATCGATTATTAAATATAAATGTATTTTGCCAGAAATGCCAGGATCTCGGGTTAAAACTCACAAAACTATATCAACAACCACCAAACAGCTAAAATAGTAAATGATAGCAGGAAAAAGGATTCCACACAAAGACGTGAACACAAAGCGCGGACCAGACGCATCAGAATCTGCGAGATGTCGGCTTTCTCACCCGACGGCACGTACACGGGCACGCTGTCGGTGTTGAAAGCTGACACCTCACAGCTTCTGATGCTGCAGGTTTTATCACTCTCTGATCTAAATTCACTGAAACAGCAGCAAAAGCTCAAAATTACACTTCACATTTGATAAACATCATCATTACGTCCCTCTTACTTTCACCGTTTTGTGTCCACTACGATAAAATCACACACAGCACAGCTCTCTCTCTCAGTGTATTTTCAAAACAGTTTCCCATCTGTATTTTATCCTCAGTTACTTTGACACAAAGGTGTCTGCTGTGATGCTCACACCTCTGATGAAGTCTCACAAGTGTCAGTACTGATAAATGATC